TGTACAAATATGCTTACACGTCGTCGCAGACAACTGGTCTCCTGCGCTGCAGATCCGGACGATTCTGCTCTCCATCCAGGCCCTCCTCGGCGCTCCCAACCCCGACGATCCTCTTGCCCCCGATGTTGCTAAGAGCTGGAAAGAAGACGAGGCGGCAGCCATAGCAACGGCAAGAGAGTGGACAGAGAAATATGCAAAGGCGTAGACTTAGAATCGGAAGACGAGAGGCAAGAGGAAGAAAAGAGAGAGATATATGAGTATATATTTCCAAGACCTGCGATAAGTTTTGATATCAAAACAGGGGCTTGCTACGGGGTACGAACATTATTATGGGGGGAGTTGAGAGATTATTCTTTTTATTTTTCCTTTTCTTTTTCTTTGGCTTGGTTGCAAATACTTTAGAAGGCTCAAATTTGTTTCGAGATGAGCCGCAAGCGTTACTGTCCGCGCTTCTATGGTGTATGTTTTAGATAGTACAAGTGGTCTTGCAGACAGATATACCACTGGCGCATTACATCATCACATTACACTTGGTGTTCAGAAATTCATTATTATAATTGCTCCTCCCATACAGTAATGCCCCCCATTTTAAGTCTATCGCCACTTCGATATTTATTTGTAATTTTTTTTCTCTTCTAGTGCACAAATACATAAGGCGACGCAGGAGATGGAGAAACAGCAGAAACTTGACGCCCCTGCCCCGAATTCTTGTATCTACAATGCTAGAGTACACATAGGGAAGTTGAAATGGGGTAAAATGAACTCCTTAGACCATGGCAAGATCGCCAAACTTCTCCTGCACGGGAGTATTAGCGCTGTACATGTCAACAAACCCGAGAAATGCACATACCTTGTAACCAGGCACCATCCATCTGCCCTTGGACACCAGCTCGGCGGTCTTCTCGTCGATGGACTTCTCGGCGGCGGCAACCTCGTCGACGGTAAGCTCGTCGAATGGCCGGGCCTCCTCGATGTTCTTCAGGGTAGCAGCCAAGTCCTTCAGCTCCAGGTCGACGGCCTGCTTGGTGGCCTCTGCGTTCTTGACGGCCTCGACCTCAAAGGCGTCAATGGCCTTGATCTGGCGGGAGACATCGTAGGTGACGGGCTTGAAGGCCTTGAATCGCTTCTCGATCTCGTCAATGACGGCCTGGTTCTTGAGGACGGAGCGGTAGTGGGCGAAGTCGACGGCGGTAGGCTGCTCGGTCAGCTGCTGGACCTTGCGGCGGGCGTCCTCGTTGCGCTTCTTGAAGGCCTGCAGGGAGGCGACGGTCTGGCCGCGGAGGCCCAGGGACGAGGAGACCTTGACCCAGTCGAGCTTGAGAGCTGCGCTTCGCTATTTCGGAAGAAGATGAAAATTAGCTCATGAAAACCGCCGGGGAACGTAAATGTTGCGCATGTTTGATCCGGCCCTCCCCCCCTTCGACCGCCACGTTTTCTTCCGTGCGATGCTCGGCAATCAAAACATTTTTTTTTGCGCCAATTGAGGAACAAACTAACCGTGGCCGCCATTTTGAGATGTGATGTGAGGTCTCGTTTGGGGATCAGAGAGCGAGATCTTTAACGGAGGTTGATTGACTTTGCCGAACTTGCCCAGCCGGGGCCGCTTGCACAAAATCGCATCACGTGACTTTACGCATGACTTTTTTGTAGCTGGCCAATGCGAGTTCGAGCTGGATGCGTCTCATACCCCCTCTTGGATGAGCTTAGGAGGAGCTCAGGCTACTCATTGAGCGAGTACATGCTATATAATAACAGAATCTATGCATCAGAGAGCACTGCCTGATTAAATTGACTTCCATATATGTAGCCATCCGTAAACACCAGTTTCACGCTGCTCCCCACTTACATGAGCGCCGAAAAGACATGTCACAATTGCTCGTAGAAACATAGACAATCTCGTCTTTCATGCCATCATTTTCTTTTTAAGGACGAGTAAAGCTCTTGGATGAACAATAATACAAATCCCTAGGCGCATATAGTTGCGCAGACTAATGAGATAATTTCAAGCACCCTGCCCATATCCACGTCATTAGATACTCAATGCCATAATGGAGTTGACAATATCATTGTCGTTCTCCTTTAGTGCTTTTACAGCCTTCTTGCGGCTGACGTTGGCTTGAGTCATGACGAGCTCAATATCCTTATCCTCCAGACCCTCGGCGTCGACCTCCTCGCCGTCATCCTCTTCTTCCTCTTCCTTCTTAGCCTCAGCCTCGCCCTCCTTGCCGTGGTCGTGATCGTGGTCATGGTCGTGATCGTGGTCGTGGTCGTGGTCGTGGTTGTGGCCAGCGTGCTCAGCCTCGGCGTTGGCCTGGGCAAGCTGAGCAGCGGCAGCCTGCTGAGCGGTGGCGTTGATGTCCTCGATCTTGGCCTCACCAAAGACACTGCAAGAAGGTTAGATGCATATTACCCCATTTCCCAGGCTGAGATTTTTGCTCACATGTAGGTGTTGCTGTTGGGGGACTTGTAGACTTCGGGGTTGTTGATGACAAAGAGGATCTGTGCATATCCGTTTAGTCTCCATTTTCCAGATCTAGCTCAGGCAAACCGCCTTCCAAATTTCGAGACCTACGTTCTTGGGGCGGCGGAGAGTGACTCGGGTGATGCCAGGGACTCGGACCAAGTTGCCCTTCTCCAGCAGGGCCTTGCGTGCCTTCTTCTCGTAGCGAGAGTGGACTACAGCAGTAGAACCGGCGGGGAGAGATCCATCGCCGAGCTCTTCAGCATCGGACTCATCGCTGGAATCCTGTTCCTCGACCGTGGGCTTAGTCTTGGTCTCGTCGTCGGGAAGCTCTTCAACTCGAGGGTTGGCCATTTTGGTTGTCTGTGGTGGGGGATAACGGGATTAGCTTGTGTCCCCCTCTTCGTTTTCGCACGAAAATATTCTTCCACAGCGAAATGGAGCCGGACGAGCTTTCTCTGTCACCTGATGCCGGGCCTGGCCATTCGTAGAGGGCAGAAAAAAAGACTGCAGTAATCGAGACTCACATTTTATGCGATTAGCCTGAAGATTAATCTAATTTGTTACTCCAACGTGACGCTGCGCAATGCCGATTTGTGTTGTAGATTTGAACTGCGAATTTCTAGGGTTTGGGTGGATGACCGCGGCTAACCCAAATTAGGTAATCAAAGTTCTTTTGGTCGCAAGATGTGAGCCAAGTCAGTCATTTGCGATATACGAGTATGGCAGTACAACGGCAAGTCTCAAAAACAAGATACAAAAGTCGCATGTGTAGCAGAAGAAGAGGAGAATTCTAGTGTTTGATTTACATGCATTTCATAGATATTTTTTTACTACACGAAATCACAGTGATCCACAATGAGAATCCTCCCTATAAGCTTTGAATTCATTTTGTCTGAATTTCCGTATTGACGCCGTTCATCATAAACGATGATATGTGACAACATACAGCCCTTCCAGAACGGGAGCAAAAATGAATCCAGCAGTTCTTTTGCTGCTGTAAATGCGTTTCCTGCCCGGGCCCATGTCCCCTCATTCTAATACCATCCGATCAACCTCTCCGTGACTCCAGAGCGAACAACCCAATTATGCGGAGGCCTTGATCTTGGCCAGAGCCTTGCGCTCCTCGAATCGTCGCTGCTTCTTGAGGCGCAGGACCTTGAAGCGGTCGAAGTCGGTCAGGGCCTTTCTCCGCTCAATCTGCTCGCGCTTCTTGGCCCAGTTGCTGCCCTTCCACTTGGCATCGATCTCGGCCTTCTCCCAAGCCTTGGTGAGGGCGGTTTGTCGGGAGCCTCGGGGCAGGTTCTCAATGACGAACTGGGAGAGGAGAGCCTTGCTGAGGTGCAAGGCTTGTCGGGGAACCTTGAGCTTGGGGTCTGAGGAAGGGCCCTCAACGAGAACCTAGATGTCATCGGATTAGCCATGTCGTTCCGGGGGAGATTCGCGCTTCTCCAGTGAGGAAACACGTCAACGTACTCGCTTGTGGTCGATGATCTCGACGATGGCAGCCAGACGGCCGTTGTAGGGGTGCTCGCCGTTGATCAGCAGAACACGGCCAACCTCAACGAGGCGCCAGTTGGATCCCTCAATCAGTGCTTCGCCCATTGTGACGGAATCTATTTCGATGTTCGTGTTAGTCGGCCAGGTTCATTCGACGAAGTCGCAATTCATTCGGTGTGTGAATGAAGTGGAGGGAGGCGCGTGTATCATACCAGATGTCGACGATTATCTGCCGTTCGGGTGGATGTTCTCTGGAGCAGCGTTCACCTTGGAGGCTCCAACGACTTTTTGAGGGCTCGGCTATCTAAGAGTGTGCGGGCAGAAAATATCCATTTGCCCTAATTGAAAATTTTCGGAATTTCTGTTTTGCCTTGCTGACTACGCCGCTCGCGCCAAGGTGGCGCACGGACCAATCGCCGTTCCTTTTTCTTTCCGACCTCGAACTAAAATTTTCGAGCTCTTCGTCAATCACCTTTGCCAGACTTTTGGAGGTCGAAAATGCAGGATTCCCAGCCAGGAATCAATCCAAAATTCTCTATAATGGTCAAGGTAAGAACGAACTTTTTTCTTCTCTATCCTGCATCGGTACTATGATGAGGTAATTTGCGGTTGATCACATGCGGTGGCTCCCTCGCCGGGGATGCTATACCAAATGAACAAATGAGAAACTTTTTCTTACATATTCTGAGCCTTTGTTCTTTATGCCCGTTTATTATTCATTCTTTGTCTGGCTTGAGCCATGGCTGACAGAATTTTTACAGATGATATATAGCTTTCAATCCAAATACAATATTATTCATTCAAGCTTCAACTTGTCCCTCTGCAATCGTGAACTTTTGATGATGCACGCAATCAAGCTTCGCTTTTTTTTGTCTTTATCTTTGGCTAGGCATAGTGAGACATGTTCATGGCCAAATGTTTCCATCCACCTTTCCCACCATTATCAACTCCTTCTCTGCTAAGCAGACCACAGCTTTTCTCATAATTCATTTCTGATCCTGATTTAAGAATGCAGATGGTATCGGCCGTCCGAATCCAACTAAGCCTTGCCCTTTCGTCTGAGATACTCTTCCTCATCTGCTGCTATTTCAGCGTCTACTTTGGCCCCTTTGGATGGTTCGTTGCCATGCATCTTGGCCTTTGCGTTGTTAGCTAATGGCTCATGGTATGGGAATCGAGCACTGACTGGTAATGTCGGGTCCTTCTTCGATAGAGACGTCTCAATGTCATCGTCAGGCTCTTCTCTCCGCTTTAAACAGATCAGATACTATTCCGCTGGCGAGATCAAGCAACCTACCTCTTCTGCGGCCAGCCTATTCTTTATGGAGCGTTGATCTTCTGAGCTTGGGTCAGTACAAACACCAGTATAATGTGATTGAGGGAAGGCATTTACTTGAATCGAGTCCAATGTGTGATGCATGCTGACCCTCGTTGTACTTCTCTGGTTGCGGCATCTCGGATCTCGCGACATTTCTCTGGTCACCTGCCTCATAGACACCAGATGTGCCGACTTTGGAGTACCCTGACATGGTTGGTAGCTATTTTTCGCAGTATCAGGATATCAGTTGAGAAGCTGCTAGTCGTGACTCTTCGCTGCGCGTACGACAATTATTGAGAGTTGTTACCGATCCAACTAGATGTTCAGCTGCACTTATATACATCGCCCTCAGACAATGGCTTACAAGATTCTCCACATAATATGTGACTTCATCCTACGTCATGATTGTTGAATCACAATGATAGACATGACAGCTAATATGTGGGAAACTTAACGTCATAGATAGATTGGCAATCTCTGTGACTTACGCCAAAGTAAGGGAACTTGTGAATACAGTGAAGTTAATCCGTGTCAGGAAGAGTCCCCAGAGAACGCCACGCCTATATTACAAGTGATATACCTGCATGCGTAGTATGAGGCTCGAAATGTTTGCTCTATTTCACAGCAATCACAGCATCGGCGGCTTCTATAGGTAGTTCCTACATGCAGCGCTCTGTTGCATTCACACTTTTCTATGTGAAGAGTTCTGACGCTTGGATGTGTTGACCTTGACTACCCTGCATGGACCTATATATGTAGATGTCGAGCCGTCTTGAACACGATTTTGCTCTATTCCGCGACACTTGATACTCGACCACACTTGATCTAGATTTCCCTTTACCTTTTCCTTTCGAATTTTCAAGCCTAGCTATATCGTACCACGCTTTTGGGAGCCTTTACATGATTGGATCGAAAATGTGACATATGATTATGCGCACCAGCAGCAATAGCGCTAGTGGCCCATGTCCTGCCCCCTTTGAGATGCGCCTCTAGCACTTTGAGGTGAATGGAATTCGGTTTTCCATTGGTTCTAGAATCTCCTGATTCTACATGCATCCCCAACGACGCCTGAGTGGGCAGCTTCAGGAGCAGCTGAGCCCAGGCACTAGATTAGTCGTCGCTTGTTACTGGACCTGGATTGAAGCTTTTGGAGCTAAAGAGCTCTGGACGATCAAGAACAAGAGACGGGGGTGGCTCATCACAACTACATACAATCAAACATGTATAAAGCGAATGGAGCCACTAAAGAAATCTCCATAGAGACGCAAGACATACCCCGTAAAACAGGAATGATTCCATCAGCTCCAAGAGATGAAACTGCCAGTCAACACAATCGTCAATAGGCCCCAGTACCCGCTCTGCAGTACGACTTCAAGACGCTGGTGCCCCGTATGTGGTACAGATTCACCGCAACATGGCCAACATGGAGATCCACTATTAGGGGACCAAGTTGATCTACTAGCTACTAAATAATCTACCGAGTCGTAACGAGCGTCTACTCATTGGCCTCCTTTTCCGGCTTGATCACGGCAAACGTAGAATCTCTTCTTGTTGCAAACGCCGGCAGCCAATTAGACGGAGACGCAAGAGCCGGGCGAGCGGCCGGGCAAACTTTGGCGAAATTGAGCAAAGCTTAGCAGCTGCCAGGCATGCAAATGAAGCAAAACCGCAAATAGCCCATTGCTTCCATTGTAGGTTCAAGCCATGGCAAGCGGAGATGCTTTAGCCCAGACTAGGCCTCGCAGCTCAGAATCTGCCGTGGGCGTGAAGGATACCAAAATGCGGAGCCCCATGCAATCTCGCAGGTGGATGCGCTGGCAGGCATGTCCGAAGGAAGCGGTTGAGCCATATTAGGGGTTTTTTTTTCTTCCTGCCATGGTTCGATTTGTTTATAATATCGTTGGTGCGCTTTTCCCTTGAAGCTTGGCTTCGTCTTGTGAGCTCTGGCTGCTGTCCAATTGCGATAACCTCACCATGACGAGTGCCCTAGTTTACGACCGCGGTCTCACCCGCGCAGACTATATTGTGCTGAAAAATCTGGAAAACGACATTGCCCAGAGACGAGATTCTCACTCAGATGGCAAATTCGACGGCGACTGGGACCATATCTCATCCGAGTCTCAAACCGAGCCACAGCAGGGAGGCGAGGTGGACTCAGCTGCTAAAGACATCGCCCTCCTCAAGTCCATGAGAAATCCGGCAGATGCTCACTTTGAGCCCACCATATTCGTATCCATCGATGATCTTCCTAGTCGTCTACCCAAGTCAGTCAACAAGCTACTTCTGCAACCGTTTATCAGCTGGGCACGGAAAACAGCCCGTTATGAGACGGACGTGGTGTTCATTGTGCATCTGATACTCTACTTCACGACCTCAGTACCAAGCGCAATTCTCCTGTTCCGAAACTTCAATCTCCTTCACGGAATCCTTCATGCCATCATGCAAGTCTACTATGTCGGCACCTACACTCTTATGATGCACCAGCACATTCACCAGCGTGGGGTTTTGGCCAAGAAGTATGCCACATTTGACAAACTGTTTCCATACATTACGGATCCCTTGATGGGACATACTTGGAACTCATATTACTACCACCACGTCAAGCATCATCACATCGAGGGCAACGGTCCAGACGACCTGTCGTCAACAATCCGCTATCAGCGAGACGACATCTCCCACTTTCTTCACTACGTGGGCCGTTTCTTTTGCCTCGTTTGGCTAGATCTTCCCATGTATTTTGCCCGCAAGGGTCGATGGGGAGTGGCTGTGCGTGCGGCGGGCTGTGAATTTGGAACCTACTTGTTCTATTATACCATGGCAACCTTTGTGAACAAGAAGGCCACCATCTTTGTGTACATCGTCCCCTTCTTGTTGCTACGGCTGGGATTGATGGCGGGCAATTGGGGCCAGCATGCCTTTGTTGACCCCGATGAGCCGGATTCCGACTATCGATCCAGCATCACTTTGGTGGACGTTGCAGTGAGTACAGCCCCAATCTTCCATTTCATGTTCACTCTGGATAGGAGCTAATTAGCTTATAGAGCAACCGATTTTGCTTCAACGATGGTTACCATACTTCCCACCATCTCAACCCGCGCAGGCATTGGCGTGATCACCCAATCCACTTCTTGGAGCAGCGTAAGACCTACGGCAAGGAAGCGGCAATCTTGTTCCACAACATTGACTTTCTCATGATCACCTACCGCTTGATGGTCAAGGATTATGAGCACCTCGCCAAGTGTATGGTCCCTCTCGGAGCCCAGGCCGATCTCACTATGGAGGGACGAGTCGAGTTCCTGAAGCGTTTGACGCGCAAGTTTTCCGAAGAAGATATCCGGAAGAAGTTTAAGAAGCAGGCGTAAAATTGCACCCTGTTATGAGGGTGACGGCACGGCAGAGTCTAGTTCAATCCTCATTGCCGTAACTACACCTGATGTTTTTAGATCCTAGCAGCACAATAGTTGCCTAATGGAGGATGCTCGATGATGAAGGCTATTGAATATGGAGGAGGGTTCTTCACAGAGCTGGTTTATATGTGGTTTCGGTATTTTGGTTGATGCATTGGGTTGTTCATGGCATATGATTGCATGTGATTGCAGACGTTGATGGCGTTTTGGAATAAGGGCGGGTGGAAAATTGACCTCGGGTCGAACCGGCATATAGAATTCTCATGGCGAGAAGAATTATCATTATGGAAATAGGATCAATAAGAAACGCATGAATGCTGCCTTGTGGTAATTTACCCAGAAATTACCACATTCCAAGCGTGGATGGTACATCTGGTAGCTGATGCCTCACTCGTACTTGGCGGCCAGAAAGAACCGGCGCCGCTGCAAACAGGTACCTGCATGTACTTGGCTGGAGGTCCGCACGGGCCACTCGAGCTTCTACCGGTGCTAATGCGCGCGATAAGTTCTTGAACGAAAATAACGTCATTCACGGCAACATCGATTACAGCTTGAGATTCCGCAAATTGCCTGCAGCATTGCCCAACATGTTCCGCTTTGTACGTCAATGAGGCCATCCTAGCTTTAAGTACCTGATTGTCCTCTGCAGCAGCTGTTACTAACCAGGGTCCATTCTATAGCACAAGACGCTCGACATCATCACGCTCTTCCACAAGGCCAGCTCCCCGGCCTCTGTGCGGGTTTCCAATCTGCTCAAGCAGGCATCGACGAGTGCCCAGAAGAGCGCCACGCAAGACGCCGAGACTCGCCGTGAGCCGTTTGAGCTGAACATTACCGAAGACGCCCCAACGGTCGACCAGGTGCAGACAATCCTGGAGTACGTTGGCCAGAGCGGCGCCTCTCAGGTCGTCAAGGGTGCGAGAGACGACAAGGATGCGCTGAAGAAGTTCAAGGAGAACAAGGAGAATTTGCTGCGGCCGCTGGTAAGTGGTTTGATGAAAGGCAGCTTGCGGGATCTAGTAACTAATGCCTCTGTAGACTGTTGACTGGAGCAATGGCAAGGCGATTGCAGGAGACAACGAGTCCGAGATCTTGAAGCTCGTCAATGCTCAAAAGTGAGCACCATAGCAAATCATGTATAAACAGCTTTTGGCTCTGTATCTTTTATGAATGTATACCCCACTCTTACCATGGACATTTGGGCATTATAGACGGTAGTGAAGAGGGGAGGGAAAAAAACAAGACTGCTCTTTACATCTTCTTACATTCTGGTGGTTTCCTTTGGATTCTCGAAGCCCTGTGCTGCACAGCAATTCGATACTGTATCAACGAGTGATATTTGCTGAACTTGATGCTGCCTCACCTCGTAAAGCCTCTGAAACTGTGGACTTTGCGCTTCGGCCGACAGGCATCAACGCAACAAGCTGCTTGTTGTATATTTCCTTTGAGCAGCACTGCCACCTACCTACCTAGTCGTGTATAACATCTATAGGGGAAATGACATGGATGAGAGTCTCGAATGAACGCTTGCTTGAATACTTGGCTGAACACTTGGCAGGCACTTGTTCAACGGAGTGTGCCGTCTGCGTACGCTGAACGGAGCTCTGTCGCCAACAGCTGTCACCCAGTTGTCAAATAGGTTCTGATGGCCTGCCAAGCCGATTCACCTCGTCCGCAATTTCTCTTCCGTTTGCCCTTGAAAGATCGGATGAAATCATTAGTAACCACTGCGCACAGCACATTCACTTAAAACACACAAAATCAAACGAAAGCAAAACCCTTCCCTCTCTTCACCTTCTCTCCTCTCCATAGCAGCCTCATTCTCGCCAAGGCAGAATATCGATCGTTGGATACGCCAACAGAATTACCGCTGTAATTCTTACCAATTACCTCTTCAACTTGGATTTTGCCTCCCTTCAATCGCCATCTCGATATTTCGGAATCAAGCGAGGACAGTCGCTCGTTGGCCTAGTTGCACCTTCCTCGACCACAAGGAGGGCTTGCACTTGAGGTACGCAATCTCGCAATCTCATCCGCAACTGTTTATTTCCTCCCCCAATCATCACAATCCCTCTCTATCTTCTTCATCACGTTTTTTTGGATTTCATACTTGGCGTTTTGTTTGAGCGCCTTGCTCTCTTACGTGCGAGCAACCTTTTGATGCTCGCGTCCCCTCGCTCTGTTGATCCATCCCACCTTCTTTTGCCTTGTTGTTGTTTTGGATCTCGATTTTACTATCGTTTCAGAAGTCCTTTCAACTTTCGTACTGACTCTAATGTTGTCAAGAGCCTCCATCATGGCTGAAAATATCAAGATGAATCTACAACCGGCTCCCCATTCTGTTCTCTACGCACCTGGATTCCCTCGTGTCCATGCCGAGAACTATCCACACGGAGACCGCGCAGCATTTGCTAAATATTATCCATATGGAATTCCCGTCACATACAAGATGATGCATGGGGTGCATTCGCAGGGAGTAGCTCAGACGTATTTGGAGGACCATCTTCCTGTTGGATTCTATACCAATGTGCCGGCCAAGGCAAGGGCTTTCATTTCAACCTCGAATGGAAGCCGACCGTTTCGAAAGCTGGATCATATCTTGCCCCAGCGTCGCATTCACCTGTGGTCTAAAGACGAAATCCAAGGCATTTGCAACTCGCTCCGCAAGGTCTTTTGGAACGAGCTGAAGAACATGCAGCAGCCACACTGTTGGGACGACTTGTGGACATTCTTCGACGCCCACGACCTCTACCATAATGGCTGCATGAATCTCTGGAACGTCGTCAACACGCTCTGGGATGAAAATACGCTCATATCTGTCGATGTGAGGCGAGAAGTAGCTGCTCACATCGGTCATTGGGCGGATGAGTGGCTCAAGCGAGAGCAAAACCAGGACAAGTTGGCCAAGTGGCAAGAATCTCACGGCCCCATCTTCCGCATTCTCGATGATCAAGACCATGACTCTCTGGGATTGATACACGATGACGTGGTGCCGCTGATCGCAAGCGCGTTGAGAGGTCGTCGCAGCTTTCTTCTCTCCAACAAGGAGAAAAAGCAAGCTGAAGAGCCTGCAGACTTGATGACGGCATGTCGGACAAACAGCATTGAAAACTGGCTTAGTAAGTTCCTTGACGATAGAATCCAGGTGACCTCGAGAGCTAACTTGTTCCCAGCCGGCCAGCGAGTTTTTGATAACAATGGCCTGCCTCCTCCTCCTCTGTCTGAACCCCATCGCGGTTCTTCGGTGCCGAATATGCCAGCTCCCTGCATTGTGGAAAATGGGAAGCACTACTTTCTCCCACAGCATTGTTTCCCACTTATGGAATCGCCTAGTGGACCTATACAAGCTCTTCAAGCTTTGCAGAAGTCTGCCGAGGCCGCTGTACCATCGCGACAATCCACCAAATCTGGTGTGGTCATCGTCAATGGTAGCAATTTGCCGAAACAACTGCAAAGCTCCATCAACAAAGCCGAGAAGAAGAAAGCTAGTGAGTTTCAGGATCAGAGTGATCCTCGAAGAATTGCGTCGATGCCAGAAACGTCATCACCTGCAGCTTTAGGCTCCGGTCTAGATTCAAAGCACAACACGGTTTTGCCGGCTTCTGGTAATGGAGATGCTTCTGTCACAGAAGCGAGACGAAGTTCCGAGTCAGCATCTTTATCAACTTCCAACAAGATCTCCTCGGACCACCCGTTGCCCTCCGAGAAAGCAGGCGGAGAGAGCACGGTGAACAAACTCATCAGAGAAGTCGCCGAGCTAGAGCACAATAAGCAAGATACATCGGTCGACCAACCGTTTGATAAGAGAGTAATCTTCGCATCCGCCAGGAACCATCTCTACCAACCTCGAGCTATCGAGCGACCTGATTAGTACTCAGGAAACGTTCGACAACTAGAGAGTAGAATCCATCCGGAAAGCGAAGGCCAATTTCCACTACATGAAGCCGCGAGACTTGAAAATAATCAAGTTTACGGCACAGATGGGCCTTTTAACGACCCTACAATCATGACAAGGCAATGGCATTCTTCCCAAAGATTTCACAGGTTGCCGCAAGATCAAAGACATCCCATTGGTAATTCGCCGGACGACTTCACGAGACAAAATCTCGCGGCCCCCGTGAAAGCGTCGCCGGAGCCGACTCCTTTTTATATGCAGCCGGAGAAAGCTTTCATTCCGCACCCTTCATCGAAAAATGGGTTCCCAAATCAGAGCGGCCATTTCTACGCTACTGCCAATAGGCCGGTGCCTCATTCTACTCCATATAGAGACATTTCTGGAAGCTCTCAAGTTATGCCTCTCCAACAGCTAGTTAATGGGACGCATTCTGGTGCTGTGGCAGCTTCCAAGTTGTGTAGTACTGCTACCAATGGGTCTGATGCAAGTGTTCAGCTTGCCCAATCAACTCGGTCTGAAATGTTGCATGGCTCCTCAACATCCTCGATGCATAATGACTACGGAAATGACAGCCAACCCTACAATAAAGTAGGACAGCGTCGGGGATCGTCTGCTCAAAAGACTCATGGGTGGAACTCGGGACAGCAGGCTCATTTGGACCACCATCCTACCCCGCGCGAGCCCTACTTGAATAAATCGTGGCGACGAAGCGCCCAACCGGATAGAACTCGACAGGCCTCTTGGTGCCTTAATCCCGGAGGCTCGCATGGTGTGGAATATACTCATTGCCCTTGCAGTGGCTGCAATGAACGCAATAGGAGTATATGGGTGAGGGTTTTCCACGACACCTTCGCGCCGAATATAGACGTCCAAACGACCCTCAAGTTTGGTATTGGCAGCAGGTTCGGTCAAGTGGAAGAGGTTTACCCAGCTCCATCTCAAAACAAAGATGCGTTTATCGTGCGGTAGGTATCTTTATCATCCCTGCTATCTGCTATTTTATACTAATCCTGCAATAGATTCGCAAAGGAGCCATCCGTGCCGCAAGCTCTCGCATTTGGTGCAGGCACGCTTGCAGAGAAAGGCATCAGAATAATCATTCGGCCTGCTCATCGATCCAAATGGGTGAATAATCACCAACACCAACAAACAAGGAGGCTTCCGCCATTACCAATTACTCACCAGCAGCCAGCGTGGGACGCATCAACTCCATCAAGCATGAACGTTGGTAACGCTCATCCAGCAGGTCCTGGTCCTTCGTCGTCGGCTACACCTACGCGTACACCAGAACGAGGTCAGATTGCAAACTCGTCAAGCTGCAAGGGCACTGAAATTTTGCCCTGTGAAATAGGATCAGATCCAACTGTAGCTCAGGAGACTACATTGCCTGTTGAGACTGCCAGTAGACCAGGTACCGACCAGCCAAGGGAGGCCCTGCAGTCTACTGATAACCGCGGCCGGGCAACATCGGTGAAGGATGAGGAGCCCTATGAGCCTGAACAAGCGTCCACTCGAGCTGCACTCTCCGTGCAAACAAAAAAGGCCAAGAAAAAAGAGACGGTTTCGCAATCAAAGCCGCTGCCTCAAGCATATGCTGGCGGAGAAGACAGTAAATGCAGTGAAAAGGTTCTGGGAGGCGAAGATGGTAGACGCTCTTTGTCTAAGAAGGCTCGAGTTGCGTTACCAAGCAGTCCTGTGATGCTAGCTGGCGCTTCAGTAGAAGAGTGCAAAGCGAGCTCGTCCGCCGCGCCTCATTCAGACACAGGAGATGGCAGTTCCACGCCCAAGGACCAGCAAGGACAAGCTAAAGAGACGCATACATCCGAACAGGTGGGCATTCCATGCCCAACAAACACTAGCACCACTGAAACAGGGGTGAAGAATGATGCAAAGACGGAGAAAGATCAACCATCAGTCTCAAGTCACTTTAAGAAGGCACAGAATTCTGTCCCAAAGGTGGGCGCAGATTTGTCACCAACAACCAAAATCTCCGAGAACATCTTCACAGAAGATGAAATCAGAGAGCGAAAACAGGCCTGGATTAGGATTCCTATGCCATTGGATCTACGGAAATCCAAGAAGTTAGGAACGTCTGTCACATCCGGTCAACCGCCCATGTCACAAAAAACTCAGAAGGAGGTCTCAAATGATGTGATGAAGAATACGAGAGTTCCTGCATCATGTGTAGATGAGAGGGCTCAGCTGGAGGCATCAAATATTTCAGGAGTGGACAAAATCACACTCGATGAGTCAGTGGAAAGAGTTGAGGAATCGACTGAGGCAGTTGAAGATGTAGTTCAGAAGCTTGTGAAAGATGAAGGGTCTAACCTTGAACAAAGGCTTTGCGCGCCCAATGAACAGCCGAGAATTGCTCTCAGGAATGAAGATTCTTCTTCTTCTTCTAAACTAGAACCATCCGAGTCAATCCATCGGGCGCCAGAGCAGTTAGTTGAGGATACTCTGACGACTCCCGGGATGGTGTTGACCACTGATGATGGCAAAGCAAGTACTGAGGCAAACAACCAAAGCAAACCGAAAACGAAGTGGAACAAGAACAAAAAGGCCAAGAAGCGCCTGGCTTCAGCACTGCAGGCTGACTTGCAAAAGGAAACTGGCAGCCAGGAGGTGTCGCCGTCCGACTTGGGGACATCTGCTGTGCCTGCGAAAGAAAAGCTTCAAACGAGCCATGATACGCTCATACCAAGCTCTGCAACTGCTGGGCCCACTTCCCACTCTCTTCAATTTTCTGAAAAGATTGATGAATTATCAACTGAACCGCTAGGGGGGCCTAGGGAGCAGACAATGACGGGCAATAGAACTCAGTATCCTTATGATACTCTACCGCGCGGTCGACTGGATTTCAGGAGCAATGCGGGCGGCTCTTTGAAGATTCCGAAAAAGCGGAAGAACAAGTACCCCTCCATTACTTCAAAGACGTTTGAAGCATCGACAACCGGCAGGCTCGTATCGACACAATCGAGAGATGCTGCTGGTGGCCCGACGCCAACAACTGACATCAAGGGTGCGATTGCAACCAGTTCGGTAACACCCGCAGGTGAAGCTGATGCTTCCAAGAAGAGTCGCCTGAATCCACTGGCAACAGCTTTTGTGTCTCCTCGCAAACCCACTACGACAGGAGCAAGCACTGAGGCCGTTTCGTATTCTCCTAGAGCAGCCTCTTCTCGAGCGGGATTGGCAGAGGTTTCTCTCGAGAAAATGCAGCCCCCCTCTAAGTTTAAGATTATGCGAAGACCAGCGACAACAAACAACTCGCCGTCAAAGGCGCCGCAGCTGAGAGAAAAGCTCAACCAAGGCCCCAAAGGAGCTGATGGCTTTGAGAGTCCGACCAAGCAACAGGAGAACAATCGCAATGAAATCCAGCGTGACTGGTCCAAAGACAAGCATCAACGGGAGCGCGAAAACGTCAGATTGACAAATTCGAATACTACATCGCCTCCAAAGGACGGTGGAAAGAAGAATGTTGGCCTCGATACACAGGATTGGCCAGCATTGCCCGTGTCTCGAGTGAGATCTGCTACTCTTGAGTAACGATACGTATTTGGAGGATACGAAAGGAGTATTTTCTTTGTTAATAATAGGGAGCGCGTTTATATCTTTTGGTTTTCCTTGCATGCTCTTTAGCATATAATCATATATTAGAGTGTGTGGCTTGTGTTGTGTTATTAGCATTAGGAAGCCTTGTTTAGCTTTAGATGCATATACATTTTGATATTTAACTCTATTCGCACCTTTGTTCAAAGTTCTTGTCTGACTCCATTGCTAGCGTTCTCATGTACAGTGTTTTGTACATATTGTGAGATGTATTATCGATAGACACGTTTTCCTTGGTGAACTGCATTGAGATATTTGGTATAGTTTTCATCTATGCATTTGGACTCATACACGGTAGCGCATATACCGTTACGCCATTTGATATCTTTGTTTCTCTCTTCCTCGAACGCATTCAAAGCTATGCAGACAAGCTCTTCTTTTATATATATATATATATACAGTGTTTTGTCACATTTATGCCTTTGTCACCAGCCCTGAAACGGTATCCTCGATCTGCTTGTCTGACAGACCTTCCAAAGACTGTGACTTTTCGGTACCGAAATCTAGAGTAACGTCCATCGTTAGCAGATGGTTCCATTGTTCCCCTTTCCTTCCATTTGTTTCTATATCGAGCCCGTCTTTCTGGCGCTGGAAGGGGGGAAAGTATTGCGACGAACGTACCGAATCTGGCGTAGACTTTGGGGAGGGTGCCGGCGGCTTCGCGGAGGAGGATCGGGGTGTTTGGGTTTGCCTGCTTGATGGCGGGGTATTGTTTTGTGAGGAAAGATCTAGAATGTGAAAGCTTCCGGTCAGTCTTTTGTATAATGAATGCTTTCTTCTGTTATCTTCTCTCCCCCCCACCATGAGGGCGTGTGTATGTGTAAAGTGTAAAATGCGCTCTTGGTTGTGAAGCTTGAGCTGGCTAGCTAGCTGCTTATATAGCAGCAATTGAACAGCTATATTATGGAATCTGGCCAAGGAATTCGCTTGCAACTGTCGTGGTTGTCGCCGAATGAAGGTGTTTTGGCTGGGGAGGGAGTTTTCGGGAGGGTTTATATGCGTACCGGACAGCGGCGCTCTGCTCGGAGGTTTGGCAGAAGAGGAAGCGCACCTCCTTGAGGGACTTTGCGAAGGCGAACTTGGCGGACATTTTTTTTTTTGGGGGGGGGGGGGGGGAGGCGTTGAATTGGGGAGGAGGTGGGAGGTTTTGGGAATGAATTGTTTCTTGGAAGCGCTGCGTTCAAGATGGCAGTTTGATAGAGAGAGTATGTAGTATGTAGTGTAGCTGCTTTGGTAACGTTGTGCACGGTTTGTTGCATAACTTTTTTCTAGTCAATGCACAATTTCTGGCGTATGTACATAAATGCTTTGCGTTCGGGTGCATAAAGTAAAGTCCGGTGTCGCTGCGGCCGGGTGAATCCCGGTCGCCATTGTTCGGAGCTGCTGGGGAACCAGAAACACGTCCGTTCGGCTCTGCTCTCTTTTCATCTTTCTGGCTTGCTGCAACTCTCTCGGCTTACGCGCAGGATTTCCCTCGTTGATTCATTTGTCACCGACACATTCACCGTGAGTTTTTGCTTCATTTTGCAGAAAGAGTTACTTTGTCCTTTTCATTCCGAACACAAGAAGATGGCCAAGCAGTCATCAAGATCAAGGAGGAAAGGAAAGAAAGAAAGCTGACTCGAGATAACGAACACCAGCAGAACCGAAAGCCATGGCCCCAACGAGCAACATCCTGCGCGCCGCCCGGCCGCTCTTCCGCCAGGGCGCCGCCGGCCCTTCGCCCTTCTTCAACAGCCAGGCGCAGCAAATGTTCCGCAACCAGTTCCGCCAGCAGGGCAAGCGGTGGCAGAGCACGGCGTCGGAGCAGCAGCAGCAGTCGACCAGCTGGTTCAAGAAGGCGTGGGAGAGCGAGGTCGGCATCAGGACGGTGCACTTCTGGGCCCCCGTCATGAAGGTGAGCAAGGAAATCTGTTACTTGTCTTTCCGTTTGCCCTTTTTGTCATCCGGTTATTGTTGTTGCTCTGCAGCGATATCATCTTGTCGTCCGTTTACGTGCACTTGCTTTTGTGTTGTTTGGACGTGCCCATACATAAACCCCTTATGTCCGTGGCCGACCGAAATGTGGTTGCTGACTTGAAGCACTCCCGCAGTGGGCTCTCGTCTTGGCTGGCATCTCCGATCTGGCCCGTCCTGCCGAGAAGCTGTCCTTTGCGCAAAACTTCTCCCTCATGTGCACCGGTCTCATCTGGACGCGATGGTGCTTGATCATCAAGCCCAAGAACGTGCTGTAAGTTTGTCCTAATCTCCGATGCTCGCCCTTCTCCCTTCTCCGAAGAGGGGAATATGATGCGGAATAGATCACTGACACAATTCCTTCACTGGTATAGGCTTGCTGCCGTCAACTTCTTCCTCGCTCTGGTCGGAATTGCGCAAATCTCTCGTATTACCATGCACAACATGTCCAAGAAGGATGGCGAAGAGGTTGCCGTCGAGGCCAAGGCCAAGGCTTAAAGATGGAGGGGTGTTTTTGAACCTGAGAGATGAATACTGAGAGTGGAGGGGGAAAGCATGGTTGGTATACCTAATACATCATTTCGCGATATCATGAAAAACAAAGTCTCGAGCTTGATAGTCACCATCACGCAAAGAGTTTCTCGACCAACGAAAACAACATAGAGGGGAGCAGAGCAGGCTTACCTGCGCTATTTTCCGAGGGGCAATGTTATAAGGGTTGCTTGTACGTGCTTTGCTTTTATCGCCTAGAGGAGGGCTTTTTCTTTATTGTGTTCTCACCGATTGGCAACATCGGGATTTTACTTTGTTCTTTGACAACTTTTTTTTTTTTTTTTTGGATCGGATAGCTGCGTAGGGCGCTAGAAGCAATTACACATGCCCTATCCGACAGTGATTTCCATGTGCAAGTTCTCCGAGAAGCTCGTAAATTATCCTCGAGATGTGACAAAGTCATGACAAACTGCTCATATATTCCAAAGATGTATAGTGGTATAAGGCACGACTCTCCCAGCAGACTATTACCTAGACAGATCTCCTACATTTTGTATCAAAGAAAAAGATATGAAGAAGAGGAAATGACCATTCAGAAGCCTCGTCCTTCTCTCAACAGACGTGCTTCTTCCACCCCATAAACCGTCTTCCCACCAGCGCCACGCAAAAAGAGAAAAGAGAAAAAGAAAAAGAGTAAAATAAGAGGGAGGGGTCATGAATCTAATGATCCTGAACCCCCGCGGGGAATGGATAAAGAAAAAACTGTAGAAGAAGCCTGTATTAAAAAAAAAAAAAAGAGGTTCCGGCCAACATCCCATCATTCGGATGGTGGGCAGCCCTCTTTAACCCCTCTGTCAACCGCATCCTGCCAAAGGGGGTGGGACAACACCGAAAGAAGCCCGAAGAACAAGGCAAATAATGCTGCCATGAAAACCAACCATGCTGGTTCTTCACGGGCTAAAGAACAGGGGACGTCGACATGGTTCCATCCGTACAGCGTCCCTCTGCATGTCCATTAACCGCGCGTATCTCATTACTCGACGTGTCCGTCATTGAGAAGCATCTCCAGAATGATCTGTCTTCCAGACAGCTCCGGGTGCGACATGGCGATCTTGACGGTTCCCTTAGAAACGTCACCCGCCGTGGACAGCCCGCCATTGTGTCCATACACTTGCGACGCCTGGGCCGCGTTGTCTCCAGTCGGGCCGCGGACCCCAAAGTCGATCAGTCGCACGTCCCGCCCAGCAATGATCTGCCGCAACCGCCCGTTGTCGGCATTTCGAACCTCGACGTAGTCATCGTTGTACAGAATCAGGTACTGTCCGTACATGGTTGCGCCCTTGGCCTTCTTCTGCTTGCCCGTGTATTCCATGATGAGAGTCCTACTGACGTCACCGTGTTTGTCGACATACACAGCGCAATCTTCATACGTTAGGATGAATTCGTTCTCGTTCAACCGGAACATGCCCAATGGGTGCTGTTCTCGGATACGATTGGCAATATTAGCAATTGCCGGTGCTTTGAGATCCGGGATGGAGATGGGTTGTTTCTTGTCGAGCGTCAACATCTCGATACCCTTGGCTGTGGACACGGCGACATAGGTCTGGAAAAGACTCAAGGAGAAACACTCCGTGGGGAAGAAGAACTCGTCAAAGTCACGGAATGACTCGGCACTTCCGGAGGCACCCTTGCCTCTACCAAAAAATCGCGACTTCTTTTCCGAAGATTTCTGAAGGATGGGTTCGAGGACCTTGAACATGGTGTGCAAGCCTTCCTTTCGTTTGTGGAAGAGCAGGGTCCGGTCCTTCATCCTGGCCGTTGCAAAGTATGTAACATCCTTCGCCAGCCTCTGGGGAGCTCGTCTGGGGTTATCATTGACCGGCGGAGCGTATTCTGAAACCGGGGCGATTACATCCAACGGATAGGAGATTAATGACTTGTCTGCAATCACAACGCACACGTTGAACTCTTCCAAGACGGCGATTTGCGTGACCCTAGCGATTTGGACCGTCTGTTTCTCATTGTTAGTACTCATCTCGTTGGAATAAACAAAATTTCGGATCTACTTACTCGAGTCCATCCTCGCGGGTTCGAAGGGTCGGCGATGTAGATGCCATAGTCAGTTCCTATTGCAATAACAGCCTTGCCAAACGCCGAAAAGGCCGTAGCGCAATTCACTTGGGCACGGCATACGGGAGCGACGCCCTGTGCAGAACCAAGAACGCCTTCTAGTTCCTCGATTGCCCGGTCGAGCGGTGTGCCCTTGACAACCGGAACGCCGGCAGACCTTGCATGAGGAGAGCTGATGTCGTAGTGGAATGCAGCGTCGGCAAGAACACGAAGCCTAAAAGGCTCCGCATTCTGAGAGAACAACCCCTTGGCGTGTTCCGTTTTCGCCTCAACAATCTTTGAGCACCAGTCTGCCCGATCCCGAGCGGATGACGCATACAACGTGTACACTTCATGACCTAGATGCTTAATCTTGAAGGGGTAAAGAATGTTGCCCTCAACATCATTGGATTGTGTTGGCGTGAGCGTCGTTGCTGAGCCAGTCGTAGAGTTTGTCGCAGTGTGCTCCAGGCCTGGCCGGGAGCTGAGCTGAGTGGTCGATCCAGCAGCTGGTCCGACGGCTGTTGTCCTGGCCAGAGGAGCTGTGATTCCCTTCTGTTTGATAACGGGATCGTCGTTCATGCTTTCCAGGAATAAAAGAGGCATTGGTATAGGCTACTGCGATGAGCATTTTCGTCTTCAAAGTTGGAAAAGGAGGGGGGGGGCGGGCAAACTTACTTCTCTGGAAACATCATACTTCTTCTCTCCTCTGCCATCTCTAGAGACCACCACCTTGGCCAAAATGAGATAGTGGTCAAACAACAAGGCATGAGTGTCCACCCATTTGATGCCGCTTGAGCTCAACCGCTGCAAGTCACCCTGTATTATAAGAACCCTGCCGAGATGGTCAAGGTTCAGCAAAGCCTGGAATCCCGGCCGTAATATGAGCATCCTGTCGAGCTCCGTCATTTCCACCCTCTTGTTCGTCTCGGCGACCTTGCCATCACATTCCAAAGTAACCACACGAATCTCTTCAATGGCTCTCTTGAGAATCGTCATCTCTTCGCTCTCTCCCGCCATTTTCCGTTCCACTGTTTCCAGCAGGAGGATATAACGTTGGAGACGCTGCAGCGGAGTGATGAGGAAGTGAGTCCAATCTTGCTTCAGACCTGCCTTGTCTTTCTGTTTGTCTTCCAAGAACTTCTTGAACAAGAGATTTTTGCCAGCCTCCCTGCGTATCATGTACGCAGCACGAGGGTATTGGGTCGCATACTCAATGTAGTCAGTCTTGGCCTTCCGAATCCACTCCCGGAAGATGTCGCTGAAGCCGACGATCCAGGGGCCCTGCTCCTGCTGACGATACTTGAGCTGCGCCAGAAGATGATCTTTGTTGATGCGTAATACCGTATCAAGCTTTCCAAAGACTGCTGTGAGAAACTTGTCGCGCTTGTCGGGGTTAAGAATAGGCGGTTGCTTATTGCGCAACTCGTCTCTGTACAGCATACGGAAGATCTTCAGCTGCTTGATATAGGACTCCTCACCAGTGACAATTTCGTGCAAGATGTTTTGGCGTTCCACCTCCTTCTTTGACCGAGAATCGATGTCTTCTTTGGTCAGCTTATAAAAGACGTGCCAGTCGTCCGCCGGTTTCTCCGTCAAGCCTTCAAGATCCACCTTTTTGAGAGTACGCATACAATGGCTGGAATAGCAACGGCCACTGATCTCGATATCATGCAACTTGGGCGCGTAGCATCCAGACCCAGCCAACTGGAAGAAAACTCCCGAGATGTGACCATTTCCGAACTTGATCCATTCTTCGTCTGGCAAAAGGACGCCGGACTTGAGCATCTGAGACAGTATGGCGGTGCTCAGAGCTTCAGCATCAGCGACGTTCATGGTCGGAACTTTGTACGTAAACAACATGGTCAGCGCCTCCTCGACAAGCTTCTCTCTCAGGTCAAGCTCTCCTTCAGCCATCTCACGGATCCAAGCCTCGATGCCACTAAGCGCCCAGGGTTCGGGGCATCGTTTGAAATCTGTCGGCGTAAGTTTCGATGGGATAAACTTCTTCTTTCTACCACCGCTGGGCAGGGTAATGCTGTCAAAGCCTCCCGCGGGAGGATTCATGCCAGCATCGTGCTCGGTAATTGGCATTCCGGGGGTCGTCTGTTGTTGCCTAGCCATCTTCCTCCGCTCTTCAGCAGCATCAGTCCTTGATCTTGCAGGTGCTTGCACCTGTGGGGTGTGACTGTATCCCGCCAGGGAAACTGATCGCTCGGGCTGATGCGAAATACTAGAGTTATTGGCATTGGCATAAAAGTTCTCTGGATTATCAAGCTGCTGACTTCGAGAGTAGGAATGATAGCCGGGGCGGCTGGTAAGTTGCCCAGAAGTCATGGAACTGGTGTCAGATCCCGGAGCTGGAGGGAGGGATGGTAGCGGTCGGTTCGACAGGCCAGGGTGATAAAATAGGTCTTCGTAGTCATCCTTTGACGGGGAGTCGGTTCCACTGAGGTGTGAATGAATGGAGACTCTCTCGTCGCCTTCGTCGAAACTGAGCCGCTTGGCACGAGGTGCCTGTAGGCCACCTGTGTCTCCATAGTCCACCTGCGCAGGTCGGGCTTGACCCGGCGTTGGTAGAGGCCGTGATGATTCTTGTGAGAAGGAAGAGCCTGTGTAGTTTCCAATATCGTTGCCGTACGTAAGTGTGCCCGCATAACCACCACTGAGGCCCCCAAGGTCCATGAATCCCCCAAAGTCACTATCGCTGCTATTATCTTGCTCTTCGGGTGGCGGGGGAAGCGGGTTGGATTGTGGGGGGTGTGCAATGGTGGGCGCATCATTATATATGAAGGTACTTCCACTGAACCGTCTTTCTTCTAGCTCAGCCTGCTGCATTGCCAGGACGCCAGCAGCTCCCTCCAGATCATCAGAGTCATTCCCATCCTCATACACGGGTTGGGCCGCCATCCTGCTTGATGGGTGGTGGGCAAGAGTCATCTGGCCATTGGAAGCGAGTGGCGAAGGGAGTGGCCGAGGCTCCGACCGGCCATCTCCCCTTCCTAGTTCAGCTTCGATTTCTTGCATGATACTCTCCTGGTCATAGGGTTCATCGTCGCGGTAATGAGGTTGAGGCAGTGGCCGGCCATTGGCATCCCATGGGGTTGCTTCCTCGGGCAGGTCAGCCATAGGTCGATTCGGCAGAGGGGCATTTGTCGGGTGTCTCGTTATCCCGGGAGATCCAAGAGGTTGCATATATGGCGACGCCAAGGAGGAGCCTTGTGAGTCCGACCGACCGGGCCTGTTATTAAAGTAGGCACCGCCATCATTCGTGGGGTATGCCGGCATGTGGGAGGTCGTGGGATACGGAGCCTGAGAGTTGGAAGAGAAAGCTGCGGGGCTCGGGCTGCCACCGTTGGAACCGTATCCAGCACCGTAGCCCGGAGAGGCATATACCGAGGACTGTGACTGAGTAGCGAATGAAGATGGACTTGTAGGCATGGTCTGTTGGTATGAGGCCGCTCTTGTTGGAGAGTGCGTAGGATATGGCACGCCAGGAGACTGAGGCGGGAAGGACGGCGATACCTGCCCAGCTCCGGCGCCATAGGACTGATCATGGCTGTTGTTGTATCCGTGATACGTGGGATGTCGCTGTGGCGCCGCGGAAGCATAGGCGGCGGGGTTGTATGTCTGAGGGGCGTAGTTGTTCGACGGGGGGCTGGCATAGGTGTTGTTCGAGCTCGACGAAGACGCAGAGTATCGCGACGACATGGTCTGTTGATGTAGTGGTATATTGGTCGACTGAGAACGATGGAAGTTGGAAGGCTGGGCAAACGTCTGGGGGTTGTACGCAGCGTGCGAAGGCGTGGGCGGCGGCTGTTCCTGTTGGTACTGGTGAGTGTATCCAGACAGGGCGCTGCCAGAGCCAGACGGTGACCGGCCGGGCGGGTAGTTGGTCGGGCTCGATATGAAGAGATCATCTTCGCTGGGCGCGGGCCGGTGCGTTATGGCCGGGTTGTAATGGTTATGGCCGTGGCCCTCATAGTAGGTGCCATCGTCGCCCGAGTTGAAGCTGGCTTGGCGGGTCATGCCGTGCTGCTCCGCTGGCTGCTGGCCTGCCACTGGATATTGGACTGGCGGGACTTGCCCGTACCGGCCACCTTCGTGGTTTCGAAAGGACATTGTTGGTGGTGAGTCGAGGGAAGCGTTCGGCGACACGGGAGCTCAGCAGCAGCTGACGCCTTGATTTTTTTTGGAGGGGGTGGGCTGTCCGAGACGAGACCAGACCAGACGAGCCTCACGGGTCAACTTTATCGCGATAACGTGGCAGAGCGAGCAAGGAGCGGCATCAAATGCAAAGCAGCAGCAGACGACTAGGCTGCTCGAACGAATTCCCCTCCGTTGTCTCCGAAAGGCTGACAGGACAGCCCGACAGGTGGAGTTTGCGCGAAGCTGGGCTGAGTCGCAAGAGGTTCTGCTCTGTTGGCTGTGCTAATGCGAATGAGAAGCCAAAGCCACTAGCCACGGCGCTGGAGCTTCTTCTCGCAATGCCGATCGCAGGGCGCGAGGATTGGGAAGAAATCAAAAATAGGCCCTGACACAGAGAGGAACCCGTCGACGCCAGTCAGCCGTGTTGCGGGAAGATGGCGCTTCGATGAAGCCTCAAAAGAGGAGGCTTACATTGACAGCAAAACGCCTTGGGGGTGGTTGTGCGCTGGAGACAGCTGCCAAGCCTGGGAACCACGGGGCCTGGGACCGGCTGGAGAACGCTGGAGGCGCTATAAAATCGATTGGATCAATGTGAAACCTGGGTGAAGAGTCGCTCTTGGTTGCATGGAGCGTAGCGTAGCGTCTTTGACATGCATTTGCACACCAGACCAGGAATGGGGCCCTTGTTCTTCTTCTTCTATAAAAAGCTTACGGGCACTTGAAGCTAGCGAATTATGTGTACTCGTACAGAGTCTGCTGGTATAGATAGTCCCTGGAGAAGCAGCAACCTCAACACTTCCATGGATAGCTAAATACTGTATGACCCTACGCCGGAGCCCCCCCGGCTGGTGTCGCTGCCGGTAATCGCACATCCACGGATCGACTAAAATTAAATATCGCTTACGGGCACCTTGCTATAAAGCGGACGAGGGCATTTCGACGATGGAAACCGCGGTTTGCAGCAATGGAAACACGTGGAGCGCGCTTTCTCTGCAAAAGAAGAGAGGAAACACGTTGACTGGATACGAAGTGTCGCTCTCAGGCCTCGGATCGCCGAGCCAGTATCTGGCTGCCTCTGAAGTTTTGGAGGGGGAGCACCGGATGTGTTTAATTGGCACTGTATCACCAGCGCCTTGCCATGGGGTACGAGGCACCAGGTACTTCGTATATACGAGCAAGTAAGGGCCCGAAAGTGGCGGCTGATGAGGATCAGCACCGCTGTCACTTGTACACATTCAGGCACATCCAGCAAGCAGGACAGTGCGTATTGCGCCAAGAAATGCGTACTCGTGCCTACATGTATCCTGTAGCGCCGAGATTATACTCATCATGGCTTAAGAGAAGAACAACATTAGTAGTCCCATATTCGCTATTACTACATATACAATACGACAGGGTGAGCCTCTGCGGGAGCATTGGACCGGACCAATGGCTCGTGGCCCCAACAGCAGAAGGCCTCCCTCCCTCTCCAATCTAGTAATATGGCGTCGAAACTTGGTTGAAACAGGAACACGCCATTACAGGGTCCGTGACCTCTTGGGATGGAGGGTGCCCAAGCAATACGAGGATGCTATGCTACCCTGAGTGACCCCCCAGAAAACCTCGGTGAAAAAACTCAACAAAGAGGGCCGGTGGTTAATTTTCGATAACGATAGTGCTCCGGGTCATTTGAACCCAAGTCAAGTACTAGAACTTGTTTGCTTCGTGACCACTCCGTACTATATTCTCCCCATCACTCACCTGCCGTACCCCTGCAGACTCAGACACTATCTCAGCATCACGGGTATATCTTGCGACAACACCATGCCCTCACGGCCAAGATGCATACCGTAAGTAAACGCTTGTGTAGCCAACAATGCTACCTGCGTCACCGACGTCTCATTCGGGATTAAGCAATGGACGCATGCTATGTAGGCAACACAGTTTGCCTCGACGGAATCATGTTCACAGCCCGTCACACAGCCTGCTGATGTCATACAGCGCCTCCAGGTCTAATCATCCACCAGCTGGCGGGCTTTGACACCCAGGTATGTATCGCTCTGCGAAGTGGATGTAAATCACTGTGCACTTGTGCGATGTGTGTGTATTCGTAGGCAAAACAGCAGCTGAATTACTACTATAACTTCAATATCTTGCGTGTGCAATGATTCTCCCCAGCAGAGACAGTGGCTTCCAGTTCCAGCCCCACCCGGACCGCTCCGTGCCGATGTACGCCGTAGATATCAGTCTCCCTATGGCATTCGACAGGAGAATATAGAAGTCATCTTTTGCAAGAACAATTTCGTATGGTCTGGTCATATTCTATAAATCACATCCTCGCGAACCGTTATCAACGTTTTCGTGACTATCTTCTATGCTCATTATGATGGGATGCATGGCCCGCTATATCAGCTTACCGCAGGCAAGGAAAAACGGGGCGATGCCGGGTTCCGATTCCACCTCTTTCGTCAGTTGGATCTCGACCAAAGAATTCAATGATACAGACTGCGAATTACTCATCTGTTTCCTATACCAGTAATTGTATACATTGCCTCTTGAGCTTCCATTATGACATCTGTGCTGCCAGATCTTGGCGAATGGCCGGGCAGCATGCCATAAAGACAGTATAACATTAGAGAACACCAAGAAGCGGTGTCTGGTTCTAGGGTTGTTTTTTGATGGAACCACTGCCGGTTTTATTTGTCTTGAGTGCAGCGTTTCCTATGCATGACCACGGGAACTACTTGTCAAGACGTTGCGTCTTGTCTCAGACCTCTAATAGGTAACACGTATAGCAACTTCCGCCTCTCACGGATTGCCACGTCAATTGTCACGAAGATCCGGGCTTTAGTTGGATACAAAAACGAACCTATGTAGCTCTGATATTCTCTTTCTGTTTCTACATCAATCTCTCATGGTCTCTCAAGAAGGAACAATGCGTTGAATCTCGTTTTACCAGGCTCTAATTAAGCTTATTACAATCTTTAACCCTATCTCCAAATACGACCTGTAAGACAAAACGGCGGGCTAGGTTATGCTTGCATTTCCTCGCATTACGGCTATATCTCTCAGGGAGAACTCTTGCAAACCATAATGGCGGTTACGAAATTATTATTAAACAGCCCTCTCGGCCTGGCTTCCTTAATATTACTCCTCATCTTTATTGCTGGCAAAATCATGGCATATCAAATGAGGAAACAACTCGGCCCATTACCCCCGGGACCTCCAGGAGAATTGTTTCTAGGCCATCTGCGCATTATACCTACCGCCTATCCAGAATACTTCTATATGAAACTATCCCAAGAGTACAAATCCGATATCCTATCGTTCAATGTTTTGGGTCAGCCGGTCATTGTCCTCAACTCCGTCCAAGCAGCCACCGACCTTCTCGATAAGCGTGGAGCCAACTACTGCGACCGCCCTCGATTTGTTCTTTTTGAAGTCATGGGATGGCATAAAACGCTCACTTTCCTCAGATGGGGCTCTTCATTCAGGTTGCACCGTCGTATTCTGCAAAGGAGCTTTCAAAAAAGCAACATTGGACAATACCGCTATTTGCAAGAGCGAGAGGCAATGGCATTGCTCAGAGGAGTCATGGACAAGCCAGCAGAATGGGAAATGGTTCTTCGACGGTTTTCTACGGCCATTGCTCTTGGGGTAGGATTTGGTATCAAGATTGAGACGGATACGGACCCCTTTATTCAACTTGCGGAGGACGCGAGCTATGCATTGGGTCATGGAGGAGCTCCGGCCGGGACGCCAGTCGATTTCTTTCCATTGTTCAGGCATCTGCCGAGTTTCCTTCATGATCGATCTCTCAAATTTGCCAACCAATGGAGATTTGCCATTGCCAACTTGCGCGATAAACCATACGAGACCATCATGGCTTCAAGGACTCGAGCACAATCTCTAGTGCAAGAGATGATAGACCAACGGGAAAGCCAAGTACAGCAGGGCCGGGCTCCTGATGTATCCGAGGAAGACGTAAAGGGTGCCGGCGCTGCTGTATTTGCAGCCGCCCAAGATACCACCTGGAGCACATTGGTCGTGTTTATACTCAGCATGGTGTTACATCCCGAGGTCCAAAGCAAAGCCCGGCGCTTACTGGATCAAGTGGTGGGAAGAAATCGACTGCCTACATTTGACGATAGACCCAATCTGCAATACATCGACTTCATCGTCCAGGAGACCTTTCGATGGTCTCCTGTGAGCCCAATGGGTGTTCCTCATCGGTCACTTAAAGATGATCTCTATCGCGGCTATCTCATACCTGCCGGCTCATTTGTCTATGCCAATACTCGTGCCATGGCCTACGACGAGGCAGTTTATAAAAATCCCGATGACTTTGACCCAGATCGCTACTTTTCCTTGGAGGAAGGTGGCCGAGGAGAGCCGCTACCGAATGGGCAGTTTGGCTTTGGCAGAAGGGTATGTGTTGGTCAACATTTTGCAGAGGCTACGATATGGCTTGTGGTCGCAGTTATGTTGAGCACCATGAGTATCGAGAGGGAAAAGGACGCGAGCGGCGCTGAAATCATACCAGTGGTTGAGTTGACCGGTGGATTGACGAGTCATCCCGAGAGTTTTCCTTGTCTGATACGGCCCCGAGATGAGAAGAGTGGTGTCGTGATTCGAGACGTAAAGCATAGCGGGGCGAGTATCTGATTGAATGAATATAAGCATTGCATTCAATACAATTGTGAACTTTGGGCAGTAAAGCTGCAGCTGAAACGTAGTTTTATGCACTCCGTGCTGTATGGATGTTAATAAACCGCCCGTACGTTTACAGTATTTCCCTTGGCTCTCGTCCAATCAGGATAAGTGGAGGGAGGGAGGGGTTGACATCAAATGTTGATTCGACAGACGCCCATCTGCGTCCAGTATTTGCGCTTCTGCTTCCTTTATCGGAACCGCTGCCCTCGGCCATGATTACCCGCCGTTAATAATGATGCTCAAAATCGGGCGCATTGCGGAATCGCTCGCCGTGTCGTCATTTGTCAGCGGGCTTTGCATTTGTTAGTCTAGCGGTTCGGCTTTGGAGTGACACCGTCTGCAAGTCAGGATGACGCCAATCCGCAGGCGGGGCAGAAACGGAGCTGCCAGAGCTTCCCGAGAAGCTCCAAATACTTCCCCCTCACCAATTCCGTACGCCTTTACTGGACACTTCAGTAGCAATATGGGACTTGTGACGGGTCCCGGAATTGTTAGCAGCGCCAGTAGTAGTTCGCAGTAGAATGCAAACGGCAGACAAAGGAAGTGCCTCGGACTCGGAGCACCTCCCCCCACCCTGGAACGAGCTTGATTTCGTAACTCCGGAGCGGCCAAAAGCTGCCTTTTTCGCTGGTCCGTTCCTCTCCAAAACTCTGTCCTCTCCACCTCTTCATCATCGTCATCAGTAGCTCTCCGTTGAAACGAAGCAATTGTAAACACCACCGCCAAAATGGTCAAAGCCGGTAAGACATCACCCAAGCCCGCCCAGCTCTCAAAAGCCAGCCAGCGCCTTGCCCCGAATATATATAGGTAAATAGCTGTCGCTAGTCAAGGGGGGGCGCCATGCCGTGCCTCGCCTCCTCCTGCGCTCGTTTGAGGGGGTTTTTGTGCTCAAACGGCCTCGATGGAGCGCGGGCCGCGCCGCAACCTTGATGGACAACGGCGGCCCTGGCTCTCGTCCATTGAGAAGCTGGCGTGTCCCTTGATAGCCCAGCTATTCGTGCCGTCAACGACGCATCTGGCTAATCTGATCGCTCGCTGCAGTCACTGTCCTCCGAGGAGACGCCAAGGTCTCCGGCACCGTCATCTTCGAGCAGGCCTCGGAGGGTGCCCCTACCACCATCACCTACGACATCACCGGCAACGACGCCAACGCAAAGCGTGGCTTCCACATCCACACCTTTGGTGACAACACCAACGGCTGCACCTCTGCCGGCCCTCACTGTAAGTTGCCCCGAAGCGGAGTGTCTTCCTTCAAATCAGACCGGCTTTGCTGACTCGCCAAACCAACCCGACAGTCAACCCCTTCAACAAGACTCACGGCTCTCCTTCTGATGAGGCCCGTCACGTTGGTGACCTCGGTAACATCGAGACCGATGCTCAGGGTAACGCCAAGGGTACCATCACCGACTCTCTTGTCCAGCTGATTGGCCCCAACAGCGTCATTGGCGTAAGAGAGCGTCCTTTCAGTATTGTCCCGCGAAAGTCTGCTAATCATCCACTGCTTAGCGCACCGTTGTCGTCCACGCCGGCACCGACGATCTCGGCAAGGGTGACAACGAGGAGTCCCTCAAGACTGGCAACGCTGGCCCTCGCCCTGCTTGCGGTACGTAATCCATTGGATGTGGTTCAAGGACTGTCCGAATACTAACGCGGGTGTTACTTAGGTGTTATCGGCATCTCTGCTTAAGTTCGTCAAAAAGCACTGTAGCTATGCTTGACCCAAGCTCCTTGCAGATTGAAACAAATCTAAAGAGCGACTGAATGTATGCAGCTCGGGTCGACATGTGCTCTAGGTAGTTATAGTCATATAGTAGTAAACAGCCAAATAAACAATTCAAGAAATTGAAAAGAGCCTGCGAGAAGCGTTCCTGGATCGTGTACACAAGCTCCATCGCGAGTCTGGTGCCGATGGAGGGGTAATGCCCATAAGCGCAATTACATCACATCGAACTGGATCTTGCCTCGGGCTGCTGCTTTCTAGCTCGCGGATGGCTGCAGTGGTTCATCGCCGCCATTTCAAAAGATGCCAGCCCGCGTTATATTCTCCAAATGCTGTGTAACCTCCATATCAAGGTACTGGACAGGTAGATTCTGGCCATGGTCTTTGCTCGTTTGCCTCCAAGTCGCCAGCTTTGTTACCCAGAGCTACCTCTAGCCTTGGGCTTAATTCCGCTGCCCCTCCAGTCCCAACACGTTGCGCCAGCCCCGCGCTCCGTTTTCGCTTAATTGCCTGTTTCGGGGCCCTCCAGCGCTGTCCACCAGCAAAAGATCCCCTGGACTCCAAAGACCCCACAATGAAGCCACCTGGAGCAAGGCCGGACTAACTCGAGCTACCGCATCGTTGGCCGGCAACCTGACACAGCAGCAGGTACTCGGTACTAAGAGTCTTGACACCTTTCCAAAAGGCACACGACATCTTCAAGTTGCTTCCTCCATCAGCTCTGCAATTTGCTCCTTTGTTACTCAATTCATCCCTCCAAGCTCGATTTCAGCTTGGTAGACCCTCAGATATCCTCCCATCTCTTTTTTGGTCTTCCGCTCAGGTACGTTTGACGCCCAAGATGCTCCAACCCCCGTCCGCTTGTTGCTCCTCGCCATTGTCCCTCTTTCTCCGCATGGCGGTGACAACTCCCAAGCTACTTGTGTTTCTTCAAAGATCACAAAGGGTCGTGTACATGCATTGTCAACTCAATCACTTGTGAACTTCACTTACACGTGGCAATTGTCACCCCACTATCTCGTCCCTTCTCAAAATACACACTCCACACCCAGAATAGCACCTGAATTGCATACAAGCTGTTTCTCTCCAAGGCAGCACCCCTTTGCTAACCAGAATCGATCCAATCAGGTCTCCCCTTGTCTCCCCCTTACCGGCCCATCATGTCGAAGACTTTTATCGGCAACGTCAAGAGTGTCTTGAGCGGCGACACCTTGATCCTGACCAGCCCCAACAACCCCGCGGCCGAACGCACCTTTTCCCTTGCCTATGTATCAGCTCCCCACCTGAAGCGAGAGGGAGACGAGCCATTCGCATTCCAATCTCGTGAATATCTCCGAAACCTGGTCGTCGGAAAGCCAGTCCAATGCACAGTCCTCTATACGATTCCCACGACCGGCAGGGAGTTTGGTTCTGCCCAACTCCAGGACGGAACTCTCCTTCCTGATGAGCTCATCAAGGCTGGCTGGCTGAAGGTCCGCGAGGATGCTGGCCGCAAAGAGGAGTCGGAAGAGCTTCTTGAGAAACTCGAGAAGCTTCGTGCTCTCGAGTCCGAGGCCAAGGGTGCCTCTAAGGGGCTCTGGTCAGGCGTCAACGGCACCATAGAGGTACAGAACGACCTGGGTGGCCCCGAGTTCTTGACACAGTGGAAAGGCAAGACTGTGGATGGCATCGTCGAGAGGGTGTTGAGCGGTGATCGCCTGTTGGTCCGACTGCTGCTCTCGGAGAAGAAGCATGTGCAGCCCCTTACCCTTGTTGCCGGTATTCGAACTCCGTCCACCGAGCGTACGCTTCCTTCCACCGGTGCCACACAGCCTGCCGAGGAGTTTGGAAACGAGGCCAAGGCATTCGTCGAGTCAAGGCTACTCCAGCGACAGGTCAAGGTTGAGATTGTCGGCGCCAGCGCCCAGGGACAACTCGTCGCCAACGTCATCCACCCCCGAGGCAACATTGCTGAATTTCTGCTCCAGGAGGGACTGGCCAGGTGTAACGACTTCCACTCAACCATGCTGGGAGCGAAGATGGCTCCTCTGAGAGCTGCCGAGAAGCAAGCTCAGTCCAAGAAAATCCGCCTGCACAAGCACCATGTGGTCAAGGCGGAAGCCGGAAACCAGGAGATGACCGTTACCAAGGTTGTTAGCGGCGATACGATCATGGTCAAGGCAAAGGCCGACAGTGCAGAAAAGAGAATCAGCTTCAGCAGCATTCGAGGTCCTCGTACCAATGAGCCTTCCGAGAGCCCCTTCAGAGACGAGTCCAAGGAATTTGTGCGATCAAAGCTTATTGGCAAGCACGTCAAGGTAAGCGTTGACGGAACTAAGCCCGCTACTGAGGGCTTCGACGCCAGAGACGTGGCCACAGTCACCGAGAAGGGGAAGAACATCGGCCTTGCGCTGGTGGAGGCTGGATTGGCCTCTGTTATCAGGCACAGAAAAGAAGACACCGACAGAGCCTCCAACTACGACGAGCTGCTTGCGGCTCAGGAAAAGGCCAAGGAGGAGAAGAAGGGCATGTGGTCTGGAAAGCCTCAAAAGGCTAAGCAGTACCTGGATCTCTCAGAAAACACACAAAAGGCAAAGATTATGCTTGCCACCCTACAGCGACAGAAGAAGGTGCCCGCCATTGTTGACTTCTGCAAGGCTGGTTCCCGATTCACCATTCTGATTCCTCGCGAGAACGTCAAGCTGACACTGGTTCTGGGCGGCATTCGTGGCCCCAGAGCCCCTCGCGCCGATGGACAAGGCGGCGAGCCGTTTGGCAAGGAGGCTCTCGACCTGGCCAACCGACGATGCAACCAGCGAGACTGCGAGGTGGATATCCACGACATGGACAAGGTCGGTGGATTCATTGGTGATTTGTACATTGGCCGTGAGAACTTTGCCAAGGTCCTCGTCGAAGAAGGCTTGTCTTCAGTGCACGCCTACTCTGCTGAGAAGTCGGGCAACTCTGCCGAGCTATTCTCAGCCGAGAAGAAGGCAAAGGAGGCCAGAAAGGGCCTGTGGCACGACTATGACCCTTCACAAGACGAGCAAGTCGATGAGGAGGCCGAGGCAGACGCTCCCGAGGCGGAAGTCACGCTGGACAAGAAGCCGGCCGATTACCGAGACGTCATCATCACAAACATTGATGCCAACGGAAAGCTCAAGATTCAGGAGATTGGAAAGGGCACAGCGGCTCTGGAGTCTCTGATGAGCGACTTCCGAAAATTCCACATCGACTCCAAGAACAACAAGCCCCTGACGGACGCCCCCAAGACTGGCGAGTTCGTGTCCGCCAAGTTCTCTGCCGATGGGCAATGGTACCGTGCCCGAGTCCGAGGCAACGACCGCACAGCCAAGGTGTCCGAGGTTATCTACGTGGACTATGGCAACAGCGAGAAGGTGGCGTGGTCCAATCTGCGAAGCCTAGACCAGGGCCAGTTCGGTGTCCAGAGACTCAAGGCCCAAGCCATTGACGCATCGCTGTCATTTGTCCAGCTGCCCACCGGCGCCGACTACTTCAAGGAGGCCATCGACTTCATTTACGAGCTGACTGAGAACAAGCGACTGGTCGGCAACTTTGACTTTGTCGACAACAAGGAGAATGTCAGCTACATCACTCTGTACGACACCAAGGCAGACGGCTCTCTGCCCGGCCCCAACGACTCCATCAATAAGGAGATTGTGTCGAGCGGGTACGGCATGGTCCCCAAGAAGCTCAAGTCGTGGGAGCGCAGCAAGGCCTTTGAATCATACCTGAAGCGCCTGCGAGAGATTGAGAGCCAGGCGAAGCAGGACAGGCTAGGCATGTGGGAGTATGGTGATATCACTGAGGACTAAAAGAGTGCAGGCTTTGGTCTGGGTAGGAAAGGAAAAGGTCATTTTTCATAGTTTTACACGGCATAAAGCGAGAAACTGTATTCCCCGTTATTAATCTCTGTAGAAGAGATGGAGGTGAAAAATTGAAGATTTTGTTGTCGCGGGAACGACGAATGAGGAAATTCTCCGTCCACGAGCATTCGAGGTATATGTGTGTGTATACGCGCGCGTGTAAGTGACGGCAGCACCTACTAAAGCTAGGATGTAATGATCAGCATCCCGCGGTGATGGAACCGAAACCATCGGAATATGCCGAAATCGCAACCCGTGATGTGCGCTCTTAACCCACCATTTCCGCGTAATATTTCTGAAGAAATGACGGCCACCTCTCTGTTCGAAGGCCATGGAAATGGGGCGGAACGAGAACTTGGCAAACGCCCCGTTGGTCAGCTGGCTCTTATTATGTATGGCTTATTAACAAAACAAAAACGAGCGTGGCCGGGCGAGGCCGGATGCTGATCCGGCAACAGATAGGCTACAAGGGCCTCGCATAGCCTTACAGCAACGGAGCAACCCGCGAGCTGCGCCGTAATCACCTCCATACTTGTACTGGACCAACGCTGGGAGCCCGGAAACACACACACAAACAGCGTTGCTTGAACTGCCAAATGGCGCCCAGCCAAAAGGTTCCCCAAAGTTCCCGCCGGGGGTTTCGGTGGAGGCGAAAGAGGCGAATAAGGGCCGTGGAAAGAGAAACGGGTGACTGTGACCCTTGGCCACGTTTTTTCGATGGCGAGGCCGTCGATACCTGCCTGTATGCTTGGACCCCGGCAAAACAGCGGCCGGGCAGGATTTCGGACTGTTGGTGACCTCAGGCTTTAATTATGCGATGGTGACAAAGGCAGAGAGGCCCGGCAAATGCTGCTGGGAACTTTGGGAACTTTGCGGCTAAGGAGGAGGGAAGAGGGGCCACAATGACTTAATGGCCCCCGCTCCGGGCAAGGGGGGGCGAAACAGTTGTTGAGCTGGGCTGTTAGCAGGATGGAGATGGTTTGTTCCACTAACACACGGTGTATAGTAGCTTGAGAAGTACCTATATATCATCTCGTCCGCCAAACTCTCTTTCTCCTACTTCCCATCTCTCCATACCCGACTTACCTACTCTCCACAACCAAACTCGTTCTTCCGTCTTCGAAAAATCATCCACCATTCCTCCTCACACAGACACAATGAGCAGCTCTCTTGACCAGCTTAAGGCCTCTGGCACCGTACGTCTCCCTCTCTCCCGGCCTGGACCTGCTACCCCGCCAAAGCCAAACAACTGCAACTGTACCCCTCCAAACGAGGGGCGAAATTGCTTTGCGAGCTTCAGACGCCCGGTTTCTTTGCTGGCCTTGAAGCTCGGCAAC